AGTTACAAATGTGCTCCATAAAAGGAAGGAGAGCTCCATCCAACCTAGGAAGGCTACTCCAACAACACGACCTCCCCAGGTTCAGTTTCAGCCTTTGTCCATTCCAGAACTGAGTTCAAGCAATGCTCCAGGCCATGGACAGCATCCACTGCAAAGGATGTAAAGGACAGAGAGAGCTGTATATTGTCAGCATACTCCAAATCTCAAGATGACCTCTCCCAGCAGCCTCACATGTGCTTTCAAAACATACGTGTGCATTTATATGTATACTTTACCTTTTTTTATCTTGGACAGGGGATAGTATCTGTTATTGGGAATTATATGTGGAGGCAAGTTAAAAATAGTTAAGAAAGTTGTCCTTGTGTATATGCTATCAGTAACAACAGGGAGACCTGGTGCCCTAAATAAATCTGACAAAACTGCGACTGCTACTCCTGTCTCCATGAGTCGTCAATCATCCTACTAGGGCCCATAAAACTACCCGTTCTTTCAATTAACCGAGCACAGTATCCTAGTTTGCTTTTTTCCCCCTACCCGTCAGGCTCCAAATAGATACTGTACACATAAATATAAACTTGAAAACTAACAACTTTTTTGCACCCTACGTCCCATCTGTACAATTGTTCTGGCAGCAACACACATAAATTAGAGATGGAGGGTATATATATATGAATATTCCTGCACACCTGGGCTTAACAAGGGTCCGGCCCCTGGGGCCACAACATCCACTCACGTGTCCACTGGCGGTGGTGGCCTCGCTCATCCTTCCAATCACTCCCGGAGTGCCACCCTCTTCCTGCTCAGTTGGCCACTCGGCAGCTGTGCAGGGAGACTCATCCTCCCTTCCCCTGTCTGGAGTGGCTAGCTGAGCAGGAAGAGAGCGATGCTCCGGGCGTGATTGGAAGGCTGACCAAAACCATGGCCACCGGACACCCGAGTGGACATTCTGGCCCCAGGGGCTGGACCATTGTTAAGTACAGCTGTGCAGCAATATTCATATTCGTATATGAATACCAATACCCCCACCTCTAACATAAATACTGTATTTTTCGCACCATAAGACACACTTTTTTCCCACAAAACAGGGGGGTGGAAAGTTTGTGTGTCTTATGGAGCGAAGAAAACAGATTATATTTTCCTGTTTTCTTCTCCTAAAAAATTGGTGCGTCTTATGGAAAGGTGTGTCTTATGGAGCGAAAAATACGGTACATGTCTGATGTTGTAACATTTATTATGAATGTGTGTGCTGACATGGCTAAGAGTCCAGTAAGGATACCAAAAATATATGCACACTATAAAATAACTGCAAAAATGATTTTTTAATGCAGTCAGAACAAACCAGAGGTTGGGAGTTAGGGTTTCCCCACTGTACCTCCTTGACAGGGGCTGGACTGGATGATCCAGAGGATCCCTTCCAACTCTGCGGTTCCAAGATGATCGTGATTTAACAAACACAGGAGAAGTTGCAGTCTTCACTTCAAGGAGAAACTGTTTTCTTTTTTTCCCTACTGTCAGATTAACCTCACTACAAGGGCAATAAAAACAACCACTCCTGTAGTTAGAGGTCACCTTTCCCACTCAGCCATGGAAACTCACCGGGAGGGAATGGAACTGGTAAAACCATTCCTTAAATATCACACTTACCTTCAAAGTCCTCTTAGGGTCGCTATAAGTCAGTTCTGACTTGATAACACACACACACACACACACACACACTTTAAAGGTATGCGCAAGTCAGAACTGACGTGATGGTACATCATCATCATTTGTTGGAGCAGCCAAAGGTATGCATAAGTCAGAATTGACTTGATGATACATCATCATCATTTGTTGGAGCAGCCAAATCCTGCTGCAAAATACTGCATGTGTGCATACGAGCAATCATGCAACTGGCTTTCAAATTTTGCTGGCCATTTGTCATGTGCCCAGATGCCATACAATACATACAATCCAGGCATATCCACACATGCAATGAACAGCTGGCAGTACCACTCACATGACTAGTGTAACCCGTGACTACTGATGTTAACCACTGCTGATGACAATACGTCGAAAGAAATTGAAAATATCACCTCTAGAGGTATAACAGGTCCTCCCTCCTCGTACCAGACTATTGTGCTGACATCTAGAACAACAACCCCTCAACAGATATTTTAACATTCAAAGCAGTGGTTCCCAACCTGGGTTAACCCAGGTATTCTCGGACAGCAGTTCCCAGAACTCTTTACCACCAGCTATGTTGGTCAAGGGTTCTGGAAGTTGCAGTCCAGGAAAACTTGGGTTGCCCAAGGTTGGGAACCATTGATTGAAAAAAAAAATCTAACTCCTATTTGGTGCCTAATGCACACATGGATTCCCAACCCCCACCATCATCATCATCACCAACCCATCTCTGCCCAACACCCAAGCTGTATCAAAACAATGGAGGCTATAGTTCAACTTAGTCAGAGACTAAGTTCAAGAAGTCTTGCTTAAGCATTTAAAGATGTTTGCTGGTTTTGACTCCCACGGGCATTATAACGTTAAGTGATGTGCATCTCAGATGCTCCCAAAAAGATACAGAGACCAACCAACAAATCATTTTACACTGACCTAAACAGGACACCATTCAGCATACTGCAACTTTTAGAGTGTTGTGCTAGTCACACTGCTGTGTCAAAAGAGTGCCTCTGCATTACACAGTTATAGCAATTCAAGACAGGCTTAACTGCCACTCCCATCATATGGAATTCTGGGATTTGTCGTTCAGTTACATAATTAGATGTCTTTGCTAGAGCACTCTAATGCCCTCCTTTGAATTACAATTCCCTCCAAACTACAAACCCCAGGACTCCATAGTAGTTAATCTAGATTCAAACCACTGTTGACTATCTAATGTATATACATTCTTTTAAAAGTGGGGTATTCTGCTCTGCAGTCATTTGGAGGAAAACTATTTCCCTGTGCTAACTACTATGCAGAATGCCCCTCTCTCAGAACAACCACCACAAATCTGTAGCTGTATTTTACTGAAAATTCCTTACTTACACGTAGTTTGGACATACCATAAATACTGTAAGCAAATCTGCTTGTTATACTCACTACATCTTTTATTCTTCTTCTTCCTGGCTTTTAAATTAAAGTACATAAAATGTAAATAAACCTATTCTATTACAAGCTTGTGTCACAATAAAATTGTTAGTCTAAAGGTAACACATGGTCCCTAATGTTTCCACTGCTACAGTCTGGCTTCCTCCCTATAGTTACTGTCGACCATGTAGCATCCGTGCAAACTAGCCAGTTACTTCAAAACACATGAGAATAGACATGTGTTTGTTATGGGTCTTAAATCTGCCCCTATAGAGAAAGGCAACTGAACCTATATAAAGAAACCCAAGCAGGCCGGTTTCATCCAGATGTTGCTTGACTGTGGCTCTCCCACCATCCCTCACAAGTAACTATGCTGGTTAGAGTTTGAAGGACCTGAAGCCCAGCAAAATCTGGAGGGCCACATGTTGCCCAATTTTGTATTAAAACATCTCTCATGGGGCAGGCCTAGTCAGTCGGTCCACTCAGTGAGGGACACTCTACAGAGTCTACTTACTGTTCTGCCTTTATCCCCTACGGTTCAGAACACTATAATTCTATGCACGTCTACCCCAACGCAAACTTGCGGAACACAGTGGGATTTCCTTCCACGTAAACTAACACAAATATTGCACCATGAGTCACCCTGATATCTTGCTCTCCAAATCAGAAGACTCAACACAAAACTTCGCTGCCCCTCAGCTAGCCATTTTTTTTTCAACACTCACTTCCTGCCACAGCTTGCCGGCCTGACAGTTGCAATACACCGTGCCCATTCCAGAGCCAAGCCCAACCCTTCCAAGTTTGCTAGCCCAACCCTAAAGCGCCTTATATTTCAAAGGGGTCCCAAGGAAAGAGATGCCTGAGGAAACACAGGCCAGGGGGAAAATGTGTTAATCTTGAGGGTACCACAAGTCTCTGCAGCGCTGGAGGCAACTGATTAACAGCGTCTGCCTCTCCAGCCGCCAGACGCCACTCAGCCCAAGTCTTGCACACTCACGGGGGGGGGGGGGNCCCAGCCCAAGTTGTGCACACCCCGGGGGGGGGGGGGGCTTCTCTGGACACTGGCACACCATTGTCCCATTCCTTGGGATGGGACGGTAGCTTTGCCTCACACAGAGGCCAGGATGCGACCTTTCACTTGGACGTCACCGGGTTCAGCAAACATCCGAGGTCAAGCCTTCTGTGGTTGGCAAAGAAGGGGCTTGGCCATCGGGGGCTGCTTTGGAGCTGAACACGGGCACCGGGGTGGGTGGGTGCCTGACTTTCACACCATTGTCCCATTCCTTGGGATGGGACGGTAGCTTTGCCTCACACAGAGGCCAGGATGCGACCTTTCACTTGGACGTCACCGGGTTCAGCAAACATCCGAGGTCAAGCCTTCTGTGGTTGGCAAAGAAGGGGCTTGGCCATCGGGGGCTGCTTTGGAGCTGAACACGGGCACCGGGGTGGGTGGGTGCCTGACTTTCTGGTGTGGGAACTTGTGGGGGCTGGAAGGGTCGGGCCTCTCCCCTCTCCGCTGCCCGTGCCCAAGTCCCTTTCGCTCCGGGTCGCCCGGCGGGGCGAATGACAGGCGGCGGCGGCGGCGGCTCCTCCTGCTGGGAGTGCCAGGGGAGGCTTCAACAACACGTGCAAAGGGGAGGAAAGGGCACTTCTGAGCATGTGAAGGGCGCTTTCCCCTTTCCTCTCCCCCTCCCACCCGGCCGCTCCACACGAGTATCTGGGGCGGGCAGCAGAGGAAGGGGAGGGGGGGCGTCAGTCAGCCCGGGCACTTTTCGGACGGCGCTGGAGGCGATCGCGTTTCCTTCCCAAGCTTTTGGAGGGCGATCGCTTCTCCGGCCCGCCCCAGCTAAGGAGCCTGCAAGCGGGGAAGCCCTCGCCCCGTCGTCCCGCCACCACCACCCCCTCTTTTCCCCAGGCGGCGCCGGCGGTACCTTCTTCATGATGCCCGTCTTCCTCTTGCTGAACGTGGTGTAGCGCCGCAGCTTGTTGTCGATAAATTCCATCTTGATCTTCACGC